ATTCTCATCACTTAAAAATAAAAAGTATAAAACATGTCTCTTATATTCATCTGTTACTTCCATTTTAATGAAAATAAACAACTGAAATGTTCCCAATTCTGAACAGTATTATATGAATGAGATCCAATTTAACACTTCAGTGTAAAAAGTATCACATTAGACTGGCATTTTTAACAGCAAAACAAGATTTTTCTCAAGGTCATAAAATACCCATGAACTTACGGACTGACCTGATAAAATAATCAATTATTTGAAATTAAGAATATTTTATTATTTTTATTTTCTTTTGCCAATTTTGCTGCCTCTAGCAATTTGCCTGCCTGGGCAGCCACCCACCTCTGTATCAGCCCTTGGTAGTTAGCATTATTTTGGGTTTGTTTGGAACATAAGTGTGGTATGATGTACAATGTTTCTTTATTTTATACTGTATTTTAATTACTGAGTGAGTTTGTTTTGGTTTTTGTTGTAAAGATTCCTGTATAAAACAATAGTAAAAATAAAAAAACAGCTAATTAAGGAAACCAAGGATATAATTCTTAAGAGTAACATTTTCAAGTCTTTATTTTGATCAGTTTCAGCTCTGCTCTTTCAAAAAGAAAGAAGAATAGATGTGATATTGTATGTCAAAAATATTCAAATTTGTAAACAGTTTTTTTATATCATAAAATCAAAGATAAAAATACATGAAACTATAACTTAAAAATTATAAAATAGGAAAACTACTGGTTATTTTATCATATGTCAGTATGTTTAACATGTCCAATAACCAAATCCATGTTTCAGAGAGTATGTGAAATTCATGTTTGCTTATAACCCTTGTTATTTCTTTTGAAATAATAAATATATAACTGCTGTATAATTCTGAATGGTGGAGCAAAGTTATGTTTTATAATTATGCAAGGATGTTTACAGAAGATTTTTACATTTTGATCAAAGCCCACTGAGCGATAGATGTACTAGTCAAAGTATTAGATTTACTAATTGATGCATAATGTTTATTCATTCTTTTGTAGAAGTTTCTTATGTTAGATCCTATATAGTAAAAGCTTTCTTGTTCCATAAGAAGTTAGACTATGTTAGACCCCTGCTTTGTTTTCTATTCCACGAGCTTTATCATTTCTTAATAATTGCATAACAGAATGCATGCATTTCACTACCAATTGATATTATATATTTTTGGTGTACCTCTGGAACAATTTACATAGGAAACAACCAGTGATATTTAATCGTTGCAGTAACATGTTTTTAATACTTTAATGCAATCAACACCAGGCAATAGTTAGCATTAAGATTCCTGTATATTATTGTTTTAAATGGAACTAGATCATTGGGATTTGATAGAAGATCATTTTAATTATAATTTCCTTTTTTTTTTAAAGTTAGCATCTATTGTAATTAATTACAATACCACTTGAAAATTTGAAATGGGAACGGTACGGGAATACCATCCGAACACTCTCAAAAGCCAAAACCATTGACTAAAAACACTTCACACCACTTATACTTATTCCAGCACATAAAATTTAATGAATGCACAAATGTTTTTAGCTACTTTAAAGGACCTTCACTGGGTAAGAGAGCTGTTTTGTACATCGAACAAGATACAAAGTTTTTAAATACAGTACTTCGTATTCTTGTTTGATGTACAAAACGGTGCCTCATCTGACGAAGGCTCCTTAAGGTGGCAGAAAATGTGTGTGTGTTCATTAAATTTTACATGCTGGAGTAAGTATAAGTGGTGTGAAGTGTTTTTAATGGGAATACTTCTCAGACTTACTATGTGGGTAAAATACCTACACAAATTAACAACAACGAAGAACTCTCTGCCAAATGTTTGTATTTCTCAGATTCATAACCGTGTGCCTATTTTTGCACTCCTGTACATTATACATACATGTTCATTTGTGATATATTTATGAACCATTTTTAAAAACCTACCTAAAATTCATGCTCAACAATTAATCAAATTAAAAATTCCATTATATTATTTGAATAGTTTGAAAATTTCTCAAAATTAACTCATTTTTGACGGATTATTATTATTTATAGAAGTTCTAAACTGTTAGCATTATGAATGTAGTAATTATAATTGTTTACTGAACATAGATTTAGTAATCTTGTTGGTCAATAATGTTTTTAAATTATTTAAAATAAAAAAAAAACAAAGTAAAACCTTCCATTTTTTGCTGACGCATCTCGAGCGAGTAGCAGAGATGAAATAAAATACCAAAGCACCAATTAAACACGAATAGAACCTACCTTATCTCTTCCTTCATATAGTTTATAATGTATATCTTCTGTCTGCATTATATATTTAAAGTAAAGAAAGGGAATTTCGACAAACTTCCCTCAGCAACATCATCCAATAACAACGTGTCAATGTTTACTTCTTCATGGAAGCCATTGACGATGACGCAATCGACGATTAGTCAATTTCAATGACGTCAATTTCAATATTAAAAATTAATTTAAACATTTTATAAGTAATATTATTTTATTTTTAAATGTAATTAAAATTATTTTACATTCAGACTAGAAGAATTGAATAAAAAAGTCATCATTAATTAATTAACTATTGCCGTAAAATGTACATTTCAATTTATTTTAATATTTCAATGTACATTTCGTATATTTTTAAATATATTAAAAGTAATTACGTAAGGTTTTTAATCGATTTCATATAATTGTACACGTCACAATTCCGAGTCAGTCTAGTAACAATATGGCAATAGTGATGTCGGTTGCCTGACGCTGTCGATTATATTTCTGTAAATATTGGTTTTATGAAAGTGAATGAGATTGTTGTTGAGAGATGGATGTATTGTATCGTAAGACGAAATCTTTAATAGATGAATTAAATCAAACCTTTGTTCGGCTAGAAAGATGCAGTCCAAATGAATGTAAATCTATAGAAGAAGAAATACAAATCAGGATAGATAGGATAACCAGCAATAACGAACAGTTGGAATTGCTAACTAATAAAGAACTACCGAGTAGAAAACAGAATGCTAAATTGCGTGTAGATCAACTGAAATACGATTGTCAGCACTATCAAGCAGCATTAAGGAATTTCCAATTGAAACGCCTGAATGTCGAGCAGCAGCAACGAGATCGAGAAGAATACCTGATAAAATAATCAATTATTTGAAATTAAGAATATTTTATTATTTTTATTTTCTTTTGCCAATTTTGCTGCCTCTAGCAATTTGCCTGCCTGGGCAGCCACCCACCTCTGTATCAGCCCTTGGTAGTTAGCATTATTTTGGGTTTGTTTGGAACATAAGTGTGGTATGATGTACAATGTTTCTTTATTTTATACTGTATTTTAATTACTGAGTGAGTTTGTTTTGGTTTTTGTTGTAAAGATTCCTGTATAAAACAATAGTAAAAATAAAAAAACAGCTAATTAAGGAAACCAAGGATATAATTCTTAAGAGTAACATTTTCAAGTCTTTATTTTGATCAGTTTCAGCTCTGCTCTTTCAAAAAGAAAGAAGAATAGATGTGATATTGTATGTCNTTGGAATTGCTAACTAATAAAGAACTACCGAGTAGAAAACAGAATGCTAAATTGCGTGTAGATCAACTGAAATACGATTGTCAGCACTATCAAGCAGCATTAAGGAATTTCCAATTGAAACGCCTGAATGTCGAGCAGCAGCAACGAGATCGAGAAGAATTATTATCGAGAAGATTCACCCCAAATGATCAGGCTACTTCCATCATGATCGATCATGCCTTACAGCATAGCAATTCGCTCAATAATGCTCACCGAGGTGTCGACGAATTGATTATGAGCGGAAGTAATGTCTTGAATAATCTAAGAGATCAGAGGGGAACTTTAAAGGGTGTACATAAGAAGATCTTGGACATTGCGAATACTCTCGGTATGTCTAATACGGTGATGAGATTGATCGAGAAACGTACTTATCAAGATAAATTTATTTTATTTGGTGGAATGTTTCTGACTTGTGTCATTATGTTCCTGGTTGTAAAGTATCTGACATGATAAATTTAAAATATTTGAGCATCAGTAAAAATATCACTTGTATTGTTTTGATAAGATTTGAATGGCTGTAATAATTGTATAGCTCACAACACTAATAATCCATTTCTTTGTATCTGTTATAAAGCATAGATATATAAATATACTTGCAAATTTGACAGAAAAAGAACAGATTGTAATGAACAAATTTTCATTACAGCAGCTTAATCTTATTATATCAATACGAGGGGTTTATTTACTGGTGGTATGTTTGTATTTGATGCTATTATTGATTACATATTCAGCTATTTGTCTTGACAATATGCAATGGCTGTCACAAAACTGTATCTTTCACTTCTTTTTATTTTATCAGGTATGTATATCAGAAAATTATATTTTTGAATGATAATTAAAAAATATTGATTGATATTTGAAAGTTATTTACATTTCCATTTTTATAATTCAGAATTGAAGTACTAAATTTAACTGAAGACAAAAATAATAGGATGATGATGATGTACTGTTATATTGATACAATTTATTATAAATCTTGTATATTACACAATTTAAAAAAAAATACCTTATGATATTATAACTTTTTGTTGAAACAAGTCATTTTCACATTTAAATTTATATCAAACTTGAATCTAAATGTTCTAAATAAAAAATTTATAGCTGACGACATATAAAGCATTATTAAAATAAATTAAAAAGATTTGTTTGAAACAATACATTGTATATCTTATATTGACGGACAAATGCTAAAAGACTTGAAGAAAAACTTTTTAATATTTTGTCTATTTTGAAATTAAGAATAAAAGTTCAAAATAAAAATCCAGAATTGTTTATACTGTTTTAAGTAAGAAATTATAATTTTTTCTAATGCAAAATATGCTTAAAGAATTCACATACCAGAGGTAGCTCTTGATAATTCTTAAAAAAACACTGTATTTATAAGAAGTGTATTTTAAAGAATTTAGCACATTGAAAAATTTATCAATGAAATATATTGCTCACAAATATTACCAAAAAATTCATTAAAATTTAAAAACTCTATACTATGATATTTTTATGTGAATATTTGAAAACTGTAAAGTTTATACTTTGTTAGTTGTAAAAGAAAAGTTTATCAGAAAATATTTCTTTTTATTATTAATATTTGATCTAAAGCAACATTAATGATATTGATATATATACATATTAATATATATAATTTTGTATATTAAAAATCAATAAATGTTCAAAAAATTAAAATTATTGAAAGATTAAATATTTCTTGCTTGTATATTTTTAAAACTAAAAGTTTCATATGTTTAAAGTTTTGTATTGTTGTCTCAGTATTAATTGACAAAAACTATTATAAAATAATCATTTATGAATAAAATTAAGAATAACTTGATTAATTGATAAAAGCAATTTTTCTATAATAAATATAACTTCATAAATTTGGTGATATAAAAATATAATTGTATGATAGAAATTTGTTTATAATTTAAACAAGCAGAAAATTCGCTTATGTTTGATGATGTAAATTATGAGTTGATTATGTTTTTGCTGAATTTATGAAGTATATATAATTCTTCTTGAATACTTTTTCAAATTATACTTGTCATTGATTGAAAAATGTACTTTGTACCTTTGACTAATACTTTGAAATTTGTCAAGTAAACAAATATTGGATTTATCATATAGAAAAAATCATAGAAGAGTAAAATTAATCACTTTGAATTTTCTTTTTTTTTTTTTTTTGGTGAACTCTCTTCAGCAGTTGACAATTCTTAAAAACGTTCTGAGTAAACTTTGTGGTGACTTTACTCAAACCTTACAAAAAGGTCCTGTTTTCCTTGTGACGTTACTCACAGCCAAGTCTAATATTTGTTAATTTGACAAATTTAAGAAGTACAATCATTCCAATCAAATTGCTTTAAGTGAATGAGAGTGAATAACTCATATTTTGGTCTATTAAAAATTTTATTGGAACTATTGTTTTTTTACCTAAATGTTACAAACAATATTACATATGTCAGTTTGCATTTTTAATGCAAGGTATAAGATTAATTTATAAAGTAAGAATAAAAAAGAATAATACAGTAGAGCCTCGATAACCCGGCACTCCGGATAACTCGGCCACACCCTGACAGGGCAAAAAAATCCTTAGTTAATTAATTTTCATTATAGACAGCTTTATGCCTCATAAAGTATTTTTCTGAGGTCTGTCTTATCAAGTAAATTACTGTACACAGTGTATTTATTAATTTTCATTTTCATGTAGTAAAGGCTCTATGCCTTCATAAAGGACGTACTTTTCCTTTGTTTAAGGGTATTTGGGCAGTTTATTCTCTGTTGTATTCTCAAGCAAACAATACATACAAGTACAGTACAATATTTTCTGAGGAAACACGCATACTTATTCTTTTTTAACCCCATTCCCGATAACCTGGCATTTTCACAAACTCGGCCACCCTTTGGTCCACATTAGGCCGAGTTTTCGAGGCTCTACTGTAGTAGTAATCTGAACAAATTGGATATAAACATCTCAGCCCAATGGTTGTATAAACGCAAACAATCTGGCAATCGTTTTGGCTTTAATGAACAAATTGGAGTGGAAGATATTCCATTCCAATTTGATATTTATTTAGATAACATTATATCAGGTCAGTCCATAAGTTCGTGCGCATTAGTAGCATGTATGGGTTTCGCGATTATTTATTACCAGATCGATAAGATTCCGAACCTGTCGAAACTTGTCATCGCTTGACCGTTGTATTCGTCAGTTTGTCACCAAATTTCGTAAAGATCAGACGCATATTAGTACCGATAAAAAATGAATATCGATAACGCATATAAACGTGCTGTGTTATATATTTTTTTTCGAGTGGTGAAATTGCCAGATCTGCAGCAATAAAAATTAATAGTGTACATGGTGCACATACTATTAGTGTGAGGACTGCCCAGAAATGGTTTGAAAAATTTAAACTTGGAAAAAGCAACATTAATGATAAACCCCGTTCAGGACGTCCTGTCGATTTTGATAACAACGTTCTTAAAAACCTTGTGGAGTCAGAGCCACATTTCACAGTGGATCAGATCGCAGAAAAGATGCATTCATTTCATGGGACAGTCTTTCGCCATTTAAAGGAGATTGGAAAAGTATCCAAGCTTGGAAAGTGGGTACCACATGAGCTGTCCGGAGCCAATTGCCAGCAGTGATTAAACATCTGCATTTCCCTTCTATTGCGCTTTGAAAGAGAGCCATTTTTAGACCGTTTGGTAACAGGTGACGAAAAGTGGGTTATTTATGATAATGTCACCAGAAAAAGACAGTGGACAGACAAAGATAAGCAGCCAATTCCAACACCAAAGGCGTCTTTACATCCCAAAAAGGTTCTGCTAAGTGTGTGGTGGGATATGTATGGTGTCATTTATTATGAATTGTTAGAACCAAATAAAACCATTAATGCATATGTATACAGTGAACAACTTTGCTGTTTAAATTCAGAATTGATTAAAAAACGCCCGTGATTGGTGAATATGAAAAAAGTGTTGTTCCACCATGATAACGTTAGACCGCATACGGCTTGAAAAACGCTGCAAAAAATTAATGAACTGAATTGGGAGCTTTTGCCACATCCTGCATACTCCCCGGATATTGCCCCAAGTGATTTTCAGTTATTTTGTGCCTTACAAATTTTTGCCAAGGCAAAAAGTTCAATTCTAAACAGGATATACAAAATGAACTCGGAAGATTTTTTGCTTCAAAACCAGAATCTTTTTACACCAATGGAATAAAAAAGTTACCAGAAAGATGGCGAGATATTGTAGATAGCGGAGGAAAATATATCATAGATTAAAATGTTAAATTCTGTTTTATTTACACCATTTAAAAATTTCGCCAAAATGCGCACGAACTTATGGACTGACCTGATAAATTTTAATAAAGTAATGATCAAATTATCAATAATAATTCTTCAAATAAATTATTATTTAGTAACCCAAATTCTTCACATATTCAATGCCAAAGGTGGTGCATAATATGGTGTCAGTTTTTTACAATAAGAGTGATGACAAATAGATTAATATTTTCAGGTTTTTCAAATACAAAAATTATGACAACAGTTTTGTCATATTATTTTATTAATGTAGTGGCAAACTATGTGTCATTAATTGTCATTTACTATTGAAAATTATAGGATAAAGTTGATCATAAATAATGTCTGTTTAAGCTGTTACATTGGATTCAATCAAACTTCTGAAGATGAGGACATAGTCCTACAGTCCTATAAACCTACTTAAGAGGGAAATCCTGTAGTCTTGTAGGTTATATGAGACTAAAAGGTAGATTTTACCTAGATACAAGTAGTAATTGTTTTATTTATAAATGGCTAAACCTTCCACCAGATGCATTAGCTTATGTTTCAGAAGTTATTTATTAATCATAAGATAAAATGACCACCATCCAGCCCCAATTTTCAGACAGAATCCTAGAACCACAATTAATGTTCTGGATTTTGCCCAAATTTTAAAATTTTATTTGGCTTTCATTTTAATCCACCATTTTTCAAGAGCAGTATCAAATGTACTGTAAAATGTCTATATTGAAACAGATTTCAAATTCTACGCAAAAAACCACACATTGTCAATTGGCAGTCAAAACCACATTTTTGCGTTAATGCATTGTAAAGTCAATTTCTATAATTGCCAAAACCTCTGAACCTTTTAAGCACACTCTCTGATATTGTTAAAAACTATAACTTGTATTCAAAATTTTGCTCCCTTGAAATGATATTCTTTTAGCTCTTCTGTAAAATTTTAGAAAATGCAGATATGAGGTTTTGATTGCCAACCTGCAATATGAAAAATGAAAGTTGGATAATAAGAAATATGTAATATTTACAGTACAAATATTAGTCTCTAGCATTACTTTTGGTAACACTAAATATTTTATATCCGTGGGTTATAACCCATGGATATAAAATATGTACTTGGAATGGCTATGTACTTGGGACACTGATAAACTTTCTAAAAACAAATTGTGAGAACTATATGACATTAATCCAATTAAAATCTTGATATCATTCTACAAGTATTAGCTACCTACATATCTGCATTACAGGTAACCTTATTTTCTGCTCACAACAAACAAGTATTAGTGTTATCAATCTTGAAATGTGAAAAGTCCCAAAATATTCCAGGTAATGCTACCATATCAAGTTTGGACACTTCACTGTGCATAATATTTAGCATATCTGGCAAACTAACTGTTTCTTTATATTCTATTGCTTATTGTACAGTGGAGCTGGCAGATCAAACTCACCTTGACCTAAAATATCCATTTTTCACCCCACAAGAGATTACTTCAACAGTCTAATCTTAGCTCTGATGGAAAGCTGACGAACATCAACAGAACCCAGATGAAAAGTCTGCCTGAGCAAAGATCTGCAAACATAAGTGGGATACAGAGGAATCTACTCACTAGATTCATAAAAGTGGCAAAAAGCTGAGAAACAAAGTTTCAGTTGGTATAGATGCAGTGGTGGATTTAGAAATATGGCACCCTAGGTCCACAACGTGCACGCAC